GCGCGGCGCGGCTGGCGCTGCGCTCCGCCCCGGCTGCATTGCTGCGCTCCGGGTGCCCAGGGGAGCCACGCGCCGCGTGCGCCCCGCAGCCGGCCGCCCGGAGGCAGCGCCGTCCTCTGGCATGGGCCCCGGGGGCGCCCCGAGGTGGGGCTCTCGGCTGAGGCGCTGACAGCCTCTCTCCCGCCCGCGGGGCCCCGAGTCCAGCCCGCTCGTCCGCCCGCGGCCATGGCCGTCCGGCCCGGCCTGTGGCCAGCGCTCCTGGGCATAGTCCTCGCCGCCTGGCTTCGTGGTTCGGGTGAGTCACGCCGCGCGCGCTCTGGGGAGGCTTGCGGGGGACCGTGCGCGCGAACGCTTAGCTCTGGGGAGGAGGTGGCCGTGACCCGCGCGGCCGACCCGTCTGGAAGCCCCCCGGAGGCCAAACTTTGCCGGGCAGGACGCGGGGGCCGCCACTCGCTGCTGCGCAGCTTCCCGGTGCGCTCTCCCGGAAGCCTGGGTTCTGCCAAGTCCAGGAACAGCTGTCAGCGCACGGGGCTGGCGAGTGTAGACGCCCCACGCCTCCGGGTGGGGGAAGTTTGCTGGTTTCACGGCCCGGGAGAATGATCAGGAGGTGGGGGGGTTAGAATAATCCAGGAAAGACAAGACTTGAAGGACTCAAAGATAGCGGCTTTGGACCATATGCTAGGGCCCAGAAAATGGGGTGTGTGCGGGGCGGGGGGGGGGGTGTTAAGAAAGCTTTTCCAGGTAGGACTGCCCCAAACAGCCACTCACAATTTCTAGCTTGGCACCTGGCCTCTGCCCACGTCTAGAACACAGTGTCCTCCTCTGTCCCCACCACACACAGGCTTGCACACGCACACACTCAGGCGTGGAGGCATCCAACAGCCCCCAGTTCTTGCAGGCGGCAGTCAGAGCACTGGGGCCCCTATGGTGGCCTGTGGGCTCCTGGCCTCCCTGCTAGAGGCGGGAGGGGGAGAGAGGGAAGAAGGGGAGTTGTTTGCTGTTGGCTGTTGGTTGGCGGGCTCTGAGAACCTCTCAGAAACTCCACAGCCCTGCAGTCTCCCCGCTTGTCTTGTTGGCCACCCTAACCAGCCCCTTCATAACACAGCCTTTTAGCCCACCTCCTTTCATAAAGGGCCTCGGAGGAAGGCTTTGTCTGCTCTTCCAAAGCCCGCACCTAGGCTGAGCTGTGGGGGTCCCTAATCTCCTGGCCCCTAAGGATTTGGCAGCACTGAGCTTCTGTGTCTTGGGAAAAGTGCCTGAGCAATTCTCAGTGCTTGGTGCCCCCAGAGCCTGCTTGCAAGGAGGTGGTCCCCGGGCTGGCAAGGCCACAGTTTATCCTAAGGGTGTGGATTTCTGAACTGCCAATCCAGAAACATGCGAGCTCCGTCAAGGACCAGATGATTAAGGTCGATGGCTGGTTCCTTGAAGAGTCTCTGCCTTACTGCATCCTTCACCCACCACTGCCTCGACTGCCCTCCCCATCCTGCCCCCTAAGCCCTCTACCTGGTCCCCCCTGCTCTGCCTCCCTCCCTGTCAATGCACCCTAAATTCTCACTTTAATAAGTCCTTCTTCCCAGTGCCCCCCACCCCCATTTAATCCTGACGCAGCCTCAGGTTGAGCTGTCTGCCATCGGATGTGTATTCATCCGATGTGTTGTATGTAATGCTCGTGTTAGGGGCATGAGTTGCAGGTCTGGCCACAGTCATGAGCTGGGGGTGTCAGAGGAGGTGCCATCAGACACTGACTGGGTGCCCAGGAAATGTTTACTGAGTTGGATGTGTGTGAGAGGGCTGTGTGGTCGGAGCTGCATTTTGCCACGTGAGCACGTGGGTGGGAATGGTGTGGACTGACATGTGTCCTGAGTAATGAGTGTGGGGGGGGGAGGTCGCATGGACTGGTGTGGCGTGGGTAGCAATGTCATGTGCGTGGTCAGATGAGTACTAATATGCTGTGTGCATGTGGTAGTTGCATGCTACTGCACCAGTGAGCATTACAGATAGGGGTGACAGACACTTGTAGGTGAGGGCACCAAAACCAGGAAGGAAGGCTTGCACCTCAAGAAGTCAGGTCTTGCCCATTGGCAGGACACCTGTTGGGGCCTGGCCTGAGGTTTCCCAGGGCTGACAGGTGGGCATGAGAGCTTCAGAGTTCCCTGGATCGAAGCCTGTCTCTGTCATTAACTCTCTAGCTGTGGGAGGAGCTGCTGAAAGGTATGGAGGTAGGAGTGGCCCCACTTCTCAAAGAGAGCCCATCTCACCCTCCCCACACAGGCTCTGGGCATGTGTGGACAGATACCTAGGTAGGGCTGCCCCTGCCACAACCCTACACCCCTGCACCTGCTTATCAGTTCCTTGGCAACAGCAGCTGGTGGAAAATGTGTCTGTGAGTGGCTGGGGGGCGGGGAACGGTCAGCCAGGCAGACTTGAGGGATATGGGGGGGGGGATGTGTGTTTGTGGGGGGGTAGCTTAGGACTGCTGAGCCAGTGCAGACTCTGCCCCTCTACCCCCTCAGGCCAAGCGCCTATTCTTTGTCACCCAGCGTTACACACTACCACTCACAAAAGCCATCCCTCAGCACAAATGCACCTGGGCATACCCCCCGTCTGTGCCTGCACACACAGACACCCACCTGCCGTGACAGATTGTCCCTTTTATGCTCTGACAGTTACACAGCCGGCGCATACAACTCCCTACCCTTCATGTCTTCCTGTCTTGGGTACCCCTTAGACTGTACCATGCCTAGGGAGGAGAGGCATGGGGGCCAGGCTCTCCTGGAACGTATGAGCTGAGAGGCAGCAGCTCAAACATTACCCTTGTCTCTTCCACCCATCCCTGTTCCCTTCACAAGGGCTGCTGGACTTTCTGCCCACCCCCACTCTGGGCTGACAGGACTGTGGAGGAGGCCATCACTCTGGGCCAGAGAGCACCATGTTCCTGCTTCTTGAACATGGAGTAGGCTGCTCTGGGTGCTGCAGGAGAGAGCTGATCCTTTCCCGGGCCTGTTTCCCCCCCACTCCCACCCCTTTGCCCATGTTGGAAAAGGCTTTCTTCCAGGAGGCTAAGGTTAGCATTGACCAATACTCCAACTCAGCGCAAAAACTCCAGCCCAGAGGCCCAGGGCCTGGGAGTCGCTACCTTTGACCCCTGTAACATCCCTTTTTCTGACTGGTCCTGCCACGAGTCTCAGGCTTGTAGGATTAAGCTATAGCTTGGGGGTACACAGCCCTTTTAGGTGGAGGCCCCAATACCGCCACCTAGGAACCTGTCCTGTGTACACAAATGCCAAGCCCTCATCCCAAGCCACCAGGCTCCCATTGTCCCCTCTTCCCAGGGACCCTGTCATTGCTGCCATCCCTCACCCCAGCCTAGAAGGGGCGGGATCCTTACTGTCTCCCTTGGCTCTTCCCTCTCCTTCACGCTTCACATCTAATCTGTCACCAAGTCATCATGCCCAGTGTTACTTGTGACATTGCTGTGTCCCTAGCCCTCTCTGCTTCCTCCCATTCCCACCTCCTTTATCTCCCACCTGGCTCGACTTGGTGGCAGTCCCCCACTCATCCCCTCCTCTTCTCAGCCAAAGGTCTCTGGAGGTCTACTATGAGGCTCTCCAGGGCCTGCAGGTAGAGTCTTAGCTATGGTCTGGGATGGACGTGGGGGAGTGAAGGAAACACCTGATCAATGCACCCAGAGGTCAGCTCCATTGCTGGGCTTTGCCTGCTGCTGGGCTTGGCTCTACCAGACTAGCTCTTTCCAGACTTGCAGGATGTGGTGCCACCTGGCCTTGACAGCATGCTCCCCGCTTGGCATCCTAGCTCCTTGGCTTTGTTCTGATCCTGGCCAGGCCACTTTATTGCTGCTAGTCTTTCAACCCATCCAGCCTGGAATTGGGGGTCTCCTCCCAAAGCTCCCCCAGTTCCTCCTTCACAGGGCTCTTTGATGTGCTCTGGGAAAGCTAAAGGAAGCCAGAAGCCTCTGGTCCTGACAGCTCCTTCTCCAGTGTTTCCCCAACCTCCCCATTGCCTGCGACACTGTATACCCTGTTCTCTGCCCCTGACATGCTCTCAATCACTGCCAGCCAACTGTTTAATGCTTTTCTTCCTGTTCTCGGTTGGAGTTTGGGCTTGCAGGCCAAGCAAGGAGGAAGAGAAAGATTCAACTTAATCCACTTCAGCAGTGGCCCTCATCCTTATTCCTGACTGTGAACTTCCCTGCCCTGTCAAAGTCGGGGCTGGTAAGGCCAGCCCCCCTCAAAGGGGCAGGCACCATGCCCAGGTCACACATATATCTAGACAGCAAGTCATTACCCGTGAGTACATGTCAGTGAAACCACCCACAAAAATGTGCCCATTTCCCAGTGGGTACTGTCTCTGTCCTGACATCAATTCTTTTAGAGTAGTATTTTCCTGTGCAAATAGAATCGATGCCAAGGTTTGGGTTTCTGTGCACATCACCAGTGTGATGTCTGACCCCAAGACTGGGCAGCTGAGCCTCAGTGTCCCTCGCCACTCAGGTGTGAGCTCAGCTTTCTTTTATCATTCCTACCAGTCTCCTCCTTTCTCTTACCTGCTTTCCATGAGGGTTCTCTTCTCTTAGGGGACTTCTGGCTTCTTTCTACCATGTAGGACAGGGCAGGGATATTAGAGGCAAATAGAGTTGTCTTGCGATCTATGCTTCAAGTCTCTGGACAAGTAAAGGTTACTTCCCAGCCAGTTTCCACATCTGTAGATGGGATCTCTTATTCCTTGGTTGGTGGTAGTGAACTGTACCCAGAGTACACTGCAGCATCTTGCAGGTGCTTGGGGCTTCTTGCTTCGCCCTCCATTTTCCCTGGCATTGGAGACAATGGATTAAAACAGAGTTGGGCCTTAGGCTGCAGCAGGGCCCAGGCTGATACACAGAACAGAAGAGGCTTCGTGTAAACAACAGTATTCTGTACCCAGGCCACTTGGGCTCCAGGGTTTGGTTTGGCAAGTTCTTGCTATCACTTTTTGGTTCATCCTGTCTTGGAACCATATGCCAACTTCATCTCTGACATACAGGGTGTGGCTATAATCCATGGGCAGATGTAAATCCTAGTTTGGGCTCTGCCATTTGATTGCTGTGTGATGTTGGACCAATCACTCAAACTGTCTGGATTGAACTTGATGACTTGCCCCAGGCAGAGGCTGATGCCCAGAGACACTGCGAGACACTGCCTCTGGAGGCCGGGGTAGACTCAGCATACAGTCTCAGGCTCTCTCAGGAACTGTCCACACCTTCAAAAGACACCATCGGCCCCAGCAGAGAGGCTGGCG